GATTGATACCAAATTTATGAGAATGATGCGGTTTATAGGGGGACTACTAATAGAGTATAGGGGACTGTAATTTCAGATTTTTGTGGTGGAGTGTAGTGTACTTCACCGTTAGCTTTATTGCCTTAGCCAATACGGATGGTAATTTTCCCCATCCTCATCAATGCATGGCTTTCCCGATCCAATGGAATCGGGGATGGAGATTGCCTTGGTGGGGATGGGGATGAGGATGCATAGTGAATTCTCCGCCCTATCCCAACCTTGATATATATACCATTATGATATTTATATTATATATCAAAATACATTTAAAATGTTTTTATATTTTAAGAAAATTTTTCTTATTTTAAGTTAATCTATTTTCTAAAAATAATTTTAATTTAAAATTTGTGGAGATTTGGGTACCTGATGAGGAATACACCCCAATCGAGAATTGGGGATGGAGGGTCATTTTTATCCCCAACAAGGATCGGAGTCGGGAATGAAAATTTATTTAAAAGTCAAGATCAGGGTAAGGAGTATGGTCCCCGCCTCATTGCCACTCCTACTAGCCAGTATACCCATTGACTCTATTTGCAGTGCAAATCTGAAATGGATGCAAATTTTTGCACCCGGTTTAGAGTCGAATCCCTTAGGCTCAGCTTGAAAGGAATGGAAATACAAATATTTTGAGTGTAAAACTTTATATTTTGTATTTGTACTCTTCCCAAACCGAGCCTTATATATTTGCATTTGTACTCTTCCCACAACTAAAGCATTAACTTGTAATCATGATTATTTGCACACTTACCTAATGCAAAATTTCCACTTCCTATCACATTTGCACTCATGTACAATGCAAATTTTACACCAGCCCTTGGAATGCAAAATTTTCACCACATTCCCCCTAACTTTTCTCCTATATAAAAAGCGGGGATCACATCATTTTACTTCCTACTTTATTATTTTCAGTCCTCCATTTTCTTTCACTTTTAGTGACAATCACATTGTTTTCTTCTCATTTTATTCCTCACAAACAAACAAACCAATGTCAAACCAGAAGCAAAAGTAAACCAGATTTTACACAGCCTCATTTCTACTCCCATGCATTTACACCGGCAAATAAGCAGAAGTTACTGTTATTTGAAGATTTAATATGGGTCTGGCTGAAATTTGGATGTCCGCCTATCATCTGCTGGCTGCTGCTAACCAGCTTCTTATAAGAAGGTTGAATTTGGATGGATGGTTTCAAATTCGAACCGCCCTGATCCACCCGCGCACCCCCTTGAAACTAGTAAACCTTGTGCTGTTATGTAGTGTTATATTGTATACTACTTAATAAAGTATTTAGTTTACAATTAGCAATTAGCAACGGTAAGTAACCTTTACATCAAATGCCAAGTGATTCTCAGTGTTTATTATCATCTTATTATCATCTGATAGTAGTAGGTGTGTTCATGAAAAACTGAAAAACCGAAAAATTGAATTAAACCAAAAAAATTGAATCGGAAAATGCAGTTAACCAAATTGATCGGTTTGGTTTCGATTTGGTATTCTTGAAAAATCGAAGGACTGATTCGGCTTTCGGTTACCCTAGAAAAAAATCAACGGTTAACCGAATCAACCGGTATATATATTTATATGTATATTTTATATATTTTAAATATATATCACATATTTTCTATATATTATATATAAATATATATGCATTATATATATACATATATTTATATAATATATATTATAAATATAAAAAACCAAAGAACCAAAGAATCGAACTAGTCAAAAAATGAAACTGACGGACCGGTTAACCGGTGGTACTGATTCGGTTTTGGTTTGTAGAAATTGAAAAACCGATAGGACCGCTGGTTCAATTTGCAAAAATTGTCCATGGTTCGGTTAACCGAACAATGGACACCCCTATCTGATTGGACTAGGTAGAGCTGTAAAACGAGTCATGCTGGGTTGGCACGACATAGCCCATGTACGGCCCGCTCAAAGTGTGGGTCGTGCTGTGTTGGCCCGCGAGTCAAGCCTCCCTCCCATGGGATAATTTGGGGGGTTGGCCCGGCACAGCCCACGGCCAAAGCCCATGTTGGCTTGTGCTATGTTGTGTTGTGCCATAGGCCTGGGCCATCTTGGGCTGAGCCACAGGGCAGGCCTTGGGCTTGGGCCGAACCAGACCATACTGTTTTTTTTTACATCATTATTTTTTTTATTTCTTTGCTAAGTAAAATTAAAATACTTGACTTTCTTTTGAGACTATTTGAAAAATAAGAAATCTAACAAAGAAATGAAAAAAAATACTTAACCAAATACAAAGTCAAAGAGACAAAGACTCAAAGTAGACAACAAATTGGAAGAAAAATAGGAATTTTATTTCATTTAAATTTGAATGATACAAATCATACAATGGTTGGATGAATGAAATATGAAAAATGGAATAAATTAATAAAATATAGATACAACTTGAAAATAAAAATTTACATTATTGAAAAAATATCAAGTAATTTAAATAAAATTTACAATAATTTGAAAAAATGTTATACAACCATTGAGTATACAAAAAATATGGATTTCATCATTTTCTTTAAGATCCACCTTGACCTCCATTTCCTTGACTTTGATCATCCACTTCAGGTGAAACATCAAGTGCAGTGCCATGCCCTCCTTTGTCTTGTACCATATCCTCAACATCCAACAAATCTTTAAAGTAGATGCATATTTTCAGACTTTCATTATTCATGCAGCTTCTCTTGTCGTCCAACACCCTAGTACCTACACTTAAATAAGACTACGATAGAATTATAGACACCGAATGGGTTAGTAAATCACATGCCATGGCGGCGAGAACTGGATAATTTTTTTCATGTTCACTCCACCAGGGTAAAATATTAAAATTATTCATTTCCTTCGAGGTAAAGGAATTATCTAAACTAGAAAAATTTGCTTGTAAATGAAAATTAAGTTCAGTAAATGAATTTGTTGAAGAGACAGTAGATTTCTGCATCTTACTTATTAGATGTCAAAAATTTTCTTTTCCACTACTAGAACTAGTGTTAGAAGTGGAAGATGCACTTACACAAGTTATAGAATTCTTGTGCCCTGTTATTTCAGTTTCATATAAATTATACATTTCAAATAATAAATTATTAATATCTTCTTTTTTATTTCCAATTTCAATATTTGACAATATGTTTCAATTAAAATATGTAAACCATCTTTCCTAATCCTATGATTTAATATTATAGCTAAGCAATAAGGAGGATAAATGTTCTCTCAATATTTTTTAAATTTATATTCCATTATTTCAACAATATTTTTAAGTTGTGAATTGTTTCTATATTTTGCAAAACAATCACTAATCATCATTAATTGATAAGCTAAATTACAACAAGTTGAGTAATAAACACTTGATAATTCATTAGTTGTATCATAAAAATGTTTTAAAAAACCTTTTATACAAATGGTCATTTCCTAGTCTTCCTCAATTATAATATCATTTGGCATTTTTGCATTATAAAAATCAGTAAGAATTTGTTTGATAGAAATACAACTTTCTAACAAAGCATAGATAGAATTTCATTTATGTTTAACATCTAAAACAAAATATTTATATTTTAAATCATAATTTTGACATAAATATTTAAATTATTAGTTTCTTGCTCCAGAACTTTTAATATATATAATACAATTTCTAATTTTAGAAATATGATTAGAAATAATATTTAAAGCATCATGAATACATAAATTTAAGATGCGAACATTTGATATGAAATAATTTACCATTTAAAAATTGTTTTAATTGAAATTTTAAAATATTTATTACTCAATCATTATTACTAGCATTATCAAAACTAATAGAAAATAGTTTATTGTCAATTCCATAAGCATGTAAAGTATTTAAAATACTTTCAACAATAGTTGGGCCAGTATGTGGCCATTCAAGCCTAGTAAAACTTAAAATTCTTTTTTGTAAAAGCTAGTTTTCATCAATAATATGATTGGTAACACAATTATAACTTATATTAAATTAGAAGTCCAAATATCATAAGTAATTGCAACTCTAGAATTAAGATTTGATAAAATATAAATTAAATTTTTTTTATATATGAATCAAAAAATTTTAAAGCATACGATCTAATAGTGTTCCCATAAACTTTTTTAAATTATGGATTTATAGAATTACGTAAAAATATTTCAAGTTTAGTAACTTTGGCTAACAAAAATGGTTGCTCAGCATGTACAATATATTTTGTTAATTTGTACCTCATTTTTTATTGAGAATATTTAAAAGTACCAAAAACCTCATGCCCAATTTGTGTTTGTGTTGTTTCTTTCACTTCTTCTTCTTCTTCTTCTTCTTTTTCATGGGTGAGCAAATGTCTGACCAAGTGGCCAGTACCACCCTTGCTACAGTAGCTAAAGTATTTCCTACATTTTTGGCAAATGACTATTTTTCCATTCCCCTCAACCTCCTCTACTTTAAATATTTTCCAAATCGGGCTAATCAACCTAATGGCCTTTTTTTTCTTTCCTTCATTAATATCAATAGCATATATATCGGTGCTAACGCTATCATGTTATGATTGAATATCGTCAACATTAAACATGTTGATGTTGGGGAATTGGTTTTGGGAGAACCCGACCATTTTTTTTAATTCTAAAAAAATAAAAATTAATTTAATGACACTTACCCAGATTGCCAGTTTGGAATCTCAACTTTATTTCAATGGTTGAAGCATTCAAGCCTCCCAAATTGCTAATTTGAGATACTTGAGCAAGCCTTCTTCTTATTGAAACTTCAATAAAGTTGAGAAATGGAGAGTAGAGTGTAGAGAGAGTATGAAAATTAGAGAATGTATAGACTTGAGAGTATGAGAACTTGAGAAGAGAATTATTGAATTTATGTGATGAGAATAGTGGAGGATAAAACTATTTATAGGAATTGAAAATAATTCAATACAACTAATTTCTTAGGTGGGCCGTACTCGGCCCAGTTCAGGCCCGTAGGCTGTGCCAGGTTGTGGGCTGTGGCAACACGCGGGTTGCAGGCAAAATGACACATACAGTTATGTCATACCATACTGGCCCGTGGACATGAAACCGTAGGCCCAGCACGACCCACATTTTATTGTGTCGGACCGTGCCGCAAGGCCCGCAACGCGGGCGGCACGACCGTTTTACAGCTCTGGACCGAAAGGCATTCAAGAAAAGGAGTTGGAAGCAAAGAAGCCATGTCCTCTTGATTTAAATACCAGCACTTGGGGGCTTCAGGTCAGGTCTAACCGATTTATAATTCTCTCTCTCTCCTCGGGGTCTGGAATCTGAAAAAATGGAAGAGGCCCAGCATTAATGATGGATATCTTGTCTGTTGTTATCACAAGAAGATAGGAGATCAATCGACACCCAGGAAATTCACAGAAAGAAGAGATCAAATGAAAAGAGGAAGAGGAGGAATGGAGGAGTCTGAGATGAGGTCTGCCATCGAGGAGCTTTCTTTGGTTGTCAAAGATAAGCCATCTGGTATTAATCCTGATGCTGCATATCTTCCTACCAAGCCATTTCTGTATACCTGCAATTTACTTATTCAAGTACTGGGTAGGTTCTCTCTCTCTTAACACAAACAAACAGATACACACGCCTACTTTCCATGAAATCAAAGCGGGTACTTCGTTTCTCCCTCTTCCCAACCAATCTAAACCGACTTAAGTGGGTTTTTCACAAAATCTCCATATCAGTCCAATAATCAAGCGAACCCATACGATCATGAAACTTGAAATGGGTTTCTCTCAATTTCTCCCCATTCAAGCACCCCCCCCCCCNTCTCTCTCTGTGTAACTTTGTCAATTGTCTTCTATTTCTTGGGTAAGACTCCCAACTGTTTCTTTGTATGAATGATGATACAAATCTACATATCTATCTTTTATTTATAGCTTATTGTGTGGTTATGGTACCTCCTCTTACTGCAGATAAGATTGGACCAACAATGGCGGTTTTGAGACAAGACATACATCAAAATATCCAGGTAAATCTTTCGGTTGAAATTCTCTTCAATGCCTCTAAATTCCTACTTCTAAGTAAAAAAAGAATAGAAAGGAGATTACTTTCTTTTGTGACGAAAATACCTACCTTGTATTTTGAAAATTAGCTAGTTCCTGTTTCATACTCTTCCTCAATCTTGCAAGGTTAAAGTGTCATTTTAATCGAGATGATTGATAAGAAAGGAGATTACTAATTTAGCTTAGCTTATCTTCTTGTCTGTTTCTCACCCTCTTTCTTGTGAGGGTGCCCCATGAAATTATTTATTTAACTTATCTACTTGTCAAATTAATTTATATTTTTACTGTAGAAATTGGATAAGATGTACGAATCGGACCCATCCGTTTACTCAAACGTGGTTGAGATTTTGAAGAAAGAAGCAAGAGAAGGAATTGCAAGAAAGCCCTCCAGCTGTTCAAGAGCCTTGGTTTGGCTGACAAGGTAATTAAAATAAAATAATAAAACAAAGTCATTAAAAAATTGAGTTAGTGAAATGGGGATTTCAATTCAACAGTACCCTTGGCGAGGTATGTATATGGTGGAATTGGTGTAATAGAAAAGATTCATGCCCACACGATAGTCGATTGGGATATTCGAGATGTGGTGTTATGCATGCCAAACGGACACTCCATGTGAGGGTGAGGAAATCTAATCTTTTATTTTTTGGCTAAGAACATATAATTTTTAGTTAAGATATTGGAAATGGAAATCCCTAGGATTCCGGTTTCTACTCAAGGGAGTGTGAATCATATCCAAAATGCCTAGCCGCTAAGAATTTCTGTTCTGCTTAAGGGTGATCTTAAATCTGCTCCAATCAGCCAATTCTTTTCAGTTTTTCTCTATCTAAACAAATATTTAATCAATAGTTTTGTTGATAACTAGTAAGAATGGCAACGGAGCGGATTCAGGGCGGGGATTATATTTCCCATCCCCAACCTCAACCCCTAAATCATTCCCATCCTCGTCCCCGATTCCCATCGGGAAAGGAATTCTCCTCCATCCCCAACCCCGACGGGATGAATTCCCTATCGTAGACCCGAGTCCCTGATTATACGAAAGTCAGTAACCACTGGCTGAACCTGAAACGGTTGTTTACAGAACCCCATAATACACAACCAACAATCCTAGGCATCAGAAACAGAATTGAATAATAAAAGATAAAAGATGTTAAGAAAATTTGGATCTGTATCTGTATGTTTGAGATTTCAAAAATAAGAAATCAAAAGCATAAAAAATTAGAAATCAAAAATAGAGAGGCTGAGAGAAAGAGAGAGGACCGTTGCGAGGTCCAGATCTGCGGCATTGATAGACGAAGAAGGAAGCCGAAGAACTAAGGTTTTGAGTACCGACGTCCGACGGATGACAGCAACGACGATGGCAGTCGGCAACGATAGATGAAGGAAGAACTAGGATTTACCTCCGTAGTTTGTTCTTTCTTCTTTGAGTCTTTCTTTGTCCTTTGTCAAGTCACTAAGTGGTAATCTAGAAGAGAAGAGAGTCAAGAGACTCTCGACTCTTGAATTGTTAATTGTTATAATGTTATTTGTTAATCAAATAAAATAATAATATTATAATATAAATATTATAAAAATAATATATATATATATATATATTAATCGGGGTCGGGGTGGGGTGGGGATACCCCGACCCTGCCAAAGTACTCTCCATACCCAACCCCGTCGAATCGAAGAGCCTGGATACCCATTGGGGATGGAGAAAATTGTCATCCCTAATAACTAGAATATAAACCTTCTTTTTTAATGGTGGTAAGCAAAGGAAATGGATTACACCCTTCTAATCATCCAGAACCCTCAAATCCTTCGTTCCAAATGCCCCCAAAGCTGTGTTTGAATTGCTGGGTGGAAGAGAAAAACGGGAATTTCATCATTCGATGGATAAGGGACTGAATGGTCAGTCCCTTAGGTCCTTATTGCATTATCCATCAATGAAAAAATGTGGCACAAAATCCCCTGCTTGCTGCTTTACATATCTCATGGGACCCTTTTTGATTCTTTTACGAGGCTATGGCCTATGAGCTAACACAACTTAACACAGAAAGTAGCGGATTCCTGAATCCTTGTTCTGTCCTAAAATCCACTACTTTGTTTATTCCCTGAGGCCCTTTTCTCCCCCAACAATGTAACATGGAAAGGAATTGGATCCAAGCATCCTGTTTATTCTATTTTTGCTGTAATCCAAACATAGCCTGAAAGAATTCATTCTGATCTGTAAAATGGATGGGGATTGAACAAGTTATGGACGTCCCAGAGGCTACTATTGTGTGGTCAGTGGGTGTTTCCCATAACCAAGACTTCCCCTGAGCTACTATGTTGAGTTGCACTTTGGGTCTTTGGCTGGACCTGTCTTGGGCCCACAGTCAACACAAAACATGTGGCCCATGGACCAATTGGTAAAAGTTAGATTCTCTCCCAAGTCCCAAGCCCAAATATCCATAGCATAGCTTGAATGTCTGATAACCAGTATTTTTCTTTTAGTCCAAAGTCTGAACCATCATATATACTTTGATCATAGTTATTTTTATTGTTATTTCCTTTTGAAACCTCTTTATTGTTTCTGGACTAGGTCAATGGATTTTACAGTAAATTTGTTAGAGAAGTTAGAAAAGGATGTGGCACAAAGTCTGGAGCAAGTGGTAGAGGATGCGTACATTACTACATTGAAGCCATGGCACGGATGGATTTCATCCGCTGCTTATAAGGTAATATTACAACTCGACCCCCAATCTACTTTTTCCCTTTTTCTCTCTAAGCCCCTTGGCGTCTTCTGCAATTATTTATGTTTGAACACTTCTTCTTTTGGGTGGTTCTATCATCTATGGGCTAAATAATGGGATAGCTAGATTCGATCCCAAGTCTCCGCTACAACCAACAGAGACCTTATCAACTAAGTCAGTTGGCTCCTTCACATTTCTTGATTCAGAGAAATGTTGTCAGACTCGAACTGGATACAAAACTGTTTTGGTCACTTGGGCAGAACCATTTTTAACCAGTTCGACCATTCAATTTGCTCAAACAAAAGTACAAAATAAAAAGAAAAAAGTTATAAAATATATAAAATAATTTCAAATTATTTTTAAAGCTATTTTATATCAAAATATATTTAAAAGAACAAATATTTTGGGTTACAATAGCTATTAGCAAATGTATCTGTGGTACGTCAGACCAACTTAACAATTCTAAAAACAGGGTAGACTGAAAACTGTTTCTGGCTTAATAAATTTGGATAGGCTTCAATATATATATATATATAGTCAAGCCAAGTTGTGATTTGCTTATCACAGTCCATGACCGAAACTCCTTTCTTAGAACATATCCCACCACTCTCTCCAGCACTGGGATTTGAGTTTGAAGGCAATTGAACACAACCATGGCACTATGGTGATGCACCTGCGCTAAACCTATGCTTCTTCAAACTTTTCACCAGCTGATAATTAAATATGATAAATGTAGGTAGCTCTAAAGCTGATCCCTGAGAGGAAAGCTTTCATTAAACTTCTCATTGCTGAGGAAGAAGACTATGACATGCTAAAAGAGGAAATGCGGGAATTGATTTCATTACTTTTACCTCTTCTAGATGATATCCACTCCATTCTGGTGAGCCAAGCTACTGATTCTCTGATCAAAGAAGAAACCATTGTATGTTATATTCTCACCATTTTCACCTTATATATGGCCTGTTTTCATTCTTACAGAGGAGTTTCCACCTGGACAAGTTAAAGGCTAAGTAAGGAGGGAGCATAAAAACAAGGGCACACTAAATTTCCTTTTCTAACATGTACAGACATCGGTTTCTTCTGGTTAAAAGTTTTGTTCAATCTTCTCCATTGTGTAAATATGTATAAATACGGTTTTGTCAGTTATGTATAAACTGAATATTGTAAACTATGCAACTAAATTTTGTATCAAGGAGCTTGATTGCAAGAGAACACCTTCCTTAATGCAACTACTTGATCCATCTCTCTTGTTTTAGGGTTGTTTTTCTCTGTAATTCTTTTCAACAATTAAGCAAGAAATTTACATGAAAGAAGTGGCATTGTCTTTACCACACATCAATACAACATTAGCCTTGCTACACAGATATAGTAGTAGAACTTCATCTGAAATCTGAAAATGGGAACTCCTTGTTATGATCAAGATAGGATTAATATTGTGTTACTTTAAAGCGAACTCTTTGACTCTAGGGATCTAAAGAACCTCGTTAAAGATTCACGTCTGATCAATACTTCATTACTAAAATGAGGAGTACCATGATGAGAAGCACCACCATCAACAATGAACAAATGAGTGTTGGGTTCTGTGCCACCAGGTTCTTCCCTTTTACCCAAGAACTTATATTATGGTCTGTGTCCTACCACCATTGCTCCCAAGAGTAGATTTCAGTTTTGCAATTCAGAGAACAACCATTTGTAACCTTCCAAACACTTATATCCAAGAACTTGTCATCTTGGTCTGGTCCTACCACCATTTCTCCCAAGAGAGTAGATTTCAGTTTTGCTCTTAGAAGTACAGTCATCTGTGAACTTCCAAAGAGGATTATCTCCAGTTATCCCAATGGACTGATGCATTCCTGTGATGAATTTGACTAGGAAAATGGTTCCCGAATCCCACCAAGTAGCTCATTTTCATTGAATTGGACCCTACACACATCCCTGTCTCCATTTTTCCTGTCATTTGGGTAGGCTTACTGAATAGAAATTTGTTCAGTCTTGATAGTAGTACTTTGAGTCTTTGATCATAAAACTATTAAACTAAAGCCTCGTTTCAACAATTTTACTGGAGAAAGAAAGAAAAACGAAAAATGAAGTTGAGAAGAGCATTTTTATACTATTTTGATTAAAAAAAGTTCTTTTTCTGCTATTTCCGTATTGTGTTCAAGAAGCGAAAGCACAAGAGAATATCCAAAAGTTCCTTTGGGGATGACGGACGGGGCTACTTCTGCTGATCAAACTATAAATCCTATTTTGTTAGAATCAACTTCGTAGCATATGTTTATGAGACTGTTTCTACTATTGAATGCTTTTCGAAATTCAGGACTCAGGAGCCATTATATCACTCTCAAACTTGATATAATGAGCATAACGATGCAAATAAAGATCGCATTGCTTATTGAAAATATTGAGCATAACGATGCAAATAAAAAGAAAAATGAGTTATAATCAGAAAAGGGATAAAAAAAAGAAAATGAAAAAGGAAACAGAGCTTGAACTGAGGCAGAACACAGAAATTGGTAACTACAGTCCACAGTTGCCCCTCCAGAGAAACTTCAGTTAGAATTGTCATACAAGAAGCTATCTTTTAATGGCAAATGTCTCCGAATGAAACATGCACTGACAGCCAAAAGCTTTGACCTTCGGAGGGATTCGCCACTTGGTATAGTTACAAATGATGTAGCTGAAACATCGTCTTTTGGATTGGAATCTTTTAGCTTGGGATAGGGAAGTGATTTTCACCAAAACCAATAAATTTCTGAATCTTCTATTCAAGGGAGGAGGAAGGAAATTGCTTACCGGTACCTACATGCATCAACTCTGTGAGGAGCAGATACCAATTCTCAAAGGTGGGTTAGTCTGGTGTATCAGATCGCTTCACCCTGGACAGGTTTACCATGATCTGGGCGCTTTTTGCCTCCAAATTCTCATATGGGTATAAGGCATGATTAGTCCATTCTCATCAAACATAGAGCATTTGTGTCAGGCAAACTGAAATTCAATTGCTTTTCATTTTCTCTCTGAACCAGGCTCTGGGTTTACTTTTGTCCGTCTTCTAGTGTTTCTGAAATAGAATTGAAGACCCCAGAAATAGAAGAAACCATGACCCATTTGCTTTTTCTCTCTAAATTCTCATCTGGGTATGCTTGATCATCTAGTTTTGACAACAATATTGCACAAATTTCAATGCTATAATGGATACCCAGTCATTTGGGCCAGGGAGTCCGAGGTCCTTCCTTGGTTACCCAAGAGGAGATTTTGATTTAGAATCCGGAATCACCAGAAAAGCCCGGAAACAGAAAAATTTTCTATCAGATCCGTTGAAGATGCTTAAATCGACCGGGAATCGCCTCCGATACTGCTACAAACTACACCCGCTTCTGGTTTTCTTTCTTTCACTTTCATTTGGAGTGACCATTTTGATTCTTTTGTCCATGTATGAGAGTCGGTACCGAATGATGAATGCTCAATGGAAATTAGATACGGATCCAGAGTCCTATCCTTTTGCGAAGCTTCAGAATCTTGTAATGGTCGCTGGACATTCGGTCTATACAAGTAGCAGTTGCGGCAAGGTTGATCAGGAGGATTCATGGTTTCTAGAATCTTATCAGAAGCATCCGGGACAAGCCACTACTTTCTTGACACATATAAAGGAGGGAATTGAAATTGCAGCAAAAGACGAAGGAGCTCTACTTTTGTTTAGTGGTGGAGAAACTCGGAAAGATGCTGGTCCTCGGAGTGAAGCACAGAGTTATTGGGCTGTAGCTGAATCAAAAGGCTGGTTTGGTGAGTAATTTCTTTTTTGATCGTAGATTCTTTTCTTTTCGTAGATCTGTAGTGAGAGTTGAATGTCATGCATTTTATGGTTAACAATAGAAATGCATGCCACATTTTGAGTGAGCTCAGTTAATAAACTAAAACTTGTTCTTTGCTCATTATTAGAATGGATATCCAGATGAACTAGGACAATTCAGTTGAATGTTTTCAGCAAGTTATTTCTTATACAATTCTGCATTTCCAGGGCCACAACTCAGTTCAAAATTCAATCCAAGTATGATAATATAAAAGATGATCAGATTATGTCTATTAGTAATCATGTTTTTAGTTTAGATGCATTACATCAGTCCTGGGTCCTAGCTTAAAAGCATTAGTAGAAAAGCTCTGACTGTCAGTCTGTAATCGTGCTAACTTGCAGTTAATCTATACATTGTCTTACTACAAACAGAAGAGTGTTAATCATATCCAAATGATTTGATAGATTTGTGGATTTAAAGAATTTATGAGACTTAGATTTGAGAAAGGACCTCCTGATCTTATGGCCTGCATGAATGCATTCGTACAAAATATTGGATTGCAATTGACCTAAACTTTATTTAAGCTTTACTTTGTCTTACCACAAAACTAGTCGGTTGTCTTGTAAATTTGATTTTTGGTGGAATTGTATTAAGTAGATTTAAGTAATTTGATGGATTTTATTTATGTAAATGAGATTGAGAAAGAATCTTGTGAATAACCATTATGAGAAGTATCCTGTTTTGACCATGAAACCCATGTAACTTGTCCATCTATCACATTCTTAGCTGCGGAAGGTGAGCTGGAACAAAACATGCTGTTATATGATCCAAAATACTGGAAACATCCAGCATCTGTACATCTATCTTGCACCACTTTGAAGCAATGTTTTCAAAGGCAAACTAGGAAAGAATGACATGTGCAATTTTAAGTCTCACCTTACTCGCATCATTGCAATAGCACACAATTGGTTACTAACAAATTGTCTTAAGCCAAGTGGATATCATATTATTTGGTGAGTTGCCTCCACTGTGCTGAGGTTTTCCAAGCACTTCTTAATCTTGAATAACCTACTATACTGTCATTAGTAGCTCGCCTTTCTTTTAGGATCTATATAACAATACTTTTCCAATATTGACTTTCACTTTGTTTAGTGACAGCTTTAGAAAAAAAGTCATTCATTTTATCCACACTCTGCATTTGGAACTTGCATGCTTGTGACCTTTGTTTTTCTCATTTCTGAGTAGTTAATTGGTCCATTGTCAACTCAATTGACTTGAAACCTGTTGAAATGTTGAGGAACCCTTATCTAAGTTATAGAAAATTTGAGTAAACCTGCCTTCGTTCACTTGGAGTAACATATATGGAGACATCTGCCACAGATTTTGTTATTTTCTTTTGGCAATCCATTTGAAGATCACTGCTTGTTAGAAAAGCCAAAGATTTTTGCAATTCAAATAAAATTATCCAATTCTTTGTGGTATCTTGTGCTTGAATTGTTGTGTCACTGAATTTTTGTTTGTTTCCTTTCAAGATATCTTATCCTGTGTTGCTTGTTGGATTCTTTTCCATAAGACACAAATTCCATATTCCATCTCCTTTCCTGTATACCATATTTGGCACAAGTTATCTCCCTCTACATGATTTTCATTTTTTCTTTATATCTTCAATGCCAGAGCTTTGTTGAATTTTTTCATTGTTTCAATCATCTTATACCCAATCCCCCCCCCCCCCGTTTTGGGCTACAAACCCTGTGAACCCTTGCAGGAAATTACTCTTAGGAAATCACATATAATTGATGGAGCCATTTATATCTTGGTTATATGTCTGGCAGTGAGGAGCCATTACTTGGTGTAATGGTAAAATCTCAGGCTGGCAAGCATGAGAATGTGGGTTCAACTCTGAGGGCAGCCACCTTGTGCTACAAAAGGCCAAATGTTAGTTAGGACCATACCCAACCTACCCCTCCCACAACCCCAGATGGTTGGGACCAACATTTGGTAATGGGTTATGTCTGGCTGTACATGTGTTTGCTTGAATGTATTAAATGCATATATGCACAGACATGAACCTTTCTGGGAGACTGTAACTGCTTTTCTAAAGGCTATTAGAATAATGTTAACTTGGCTGGCTTATAGCTGGAGCATTTCAATATTCTGCATCCAAATAACTGTAGTCATCATTTTATGAGACAAGATACCAAGACCTTTCCAAGGTGGAGAGGCTTAAGCCTCATTAGCCCTTATATTTATTTTAAAAGAAAATGTATTAGAATGACAAAACAAGGATGTGAAAGTTCAAGAAAGTTCGTTGGTCCAAAAAAGGAAAAAAGAAGATTCTCAGAGAAATTAAAGAGGAATATATATTGTTATGTAAAATATTACATAGATGAATGATTCAACTGTCACAGAAAAAAATTTAAGAATCAGGAAATGGCTTGATTAAGAATTTTCTTTTCAGATATTTGTATATAAAAAGTAGTGGTGCTTTCTTCTTTTTAAAAAAACGGCTTTTACTCAGACTGCCCATGAATTTGTTTATAAACCTAGGGATTTTACTCAGACTGCCCATGAATTAGCACAGTATGCAAAAAATGTTGACAATTCTTGTGTATGGTGGGCAGTTCCTCCGAGATGGCTAGAACCTTTTTTGTGTAATTTCTCTGTTTCTTACTATGTTTCAGTTATTTGGCTCAAAATAAAAAAAGCCATTTTATCAAAGGGAAATAAAGTGGTAAATCTTGATTTCACCAAGATATTGAACAGAACTCTTAAGGCCTAGAATGCCTATCAGAGAAACTCTTAGTCTAAAATACAACTGTAAGGGTTTTTAAAAAAATTTCAATTATGTGAAATATAATAAATAAAGATTTAATACTGAGTAACCAAAGTAAGATAGTACACTTTCAAGATCATAGAAGCTTTAGCAGTGGTTCTGCAGAAACATGATAATAGTAGAAGAAATGAGAAGAAATATAAAGAGATTAAAGGACAGATATGAATAAAGTCTTACTACTTCGTTTCAACCTTTTAATTGTAATTAGACCTGTAAAATATATTCTGTTTGCTTCTATTTCCATTTTTATTTTTTGACTGACTACAATGAAAACAAGTGCATTATGACAATGAAGTATCCAACACCATGGTGGTTTCAGATTTATTTTGAAATATCTATCTATTTTAAGAAATCTTAAATAACAAATGAATTTCTATTTTTTTTCTTTTTCAGACTAATTTAACCTCAGTAAGATATGACTGTTCGTCCTGTTGTCTTGTTTTTTCCTCCCACACCCCTGCCGTGCCCCTTCTCATTCTGTTCACACCATGACAACCCCCTACAAAGGTTAGTTTGCCACATGATTCTGACTGTTCATCTCACTTAATGTATTTCAGGCAAGCAAGGTGTGAGATGGAGAGCACTCACAGAAGAGCATGCCAGGGACAGCTTTGAGAACCTTCTCTTTAGTGTGTGCAGGTTCCGGGAACTCACTGGTGTATATCCTCATAACATAACCGTAAGCTCCTCATTCTTTTTAATAAAGAATAAATTTTTGTTAATCCTATGCTGATTTCTAGAAGGACAACCTATGTTAAGAGTGGATGAGGATAGCATGATGGAAGCATTCTAACAACTTAAACTATTTGAATGGTTTTGGTGCTTTTTGTGTGTTCTTGAAGATGCACGCTGTTTATATTCATCTCAATTCAGAATCAACCTCAACTATTTGGGGTAGGCTATTTATATTCATGGTTGATGAAATCTATGTGGTTTTCATGTGCCCCCTTTAGAGTGTGATATTTATTGCTCATCTCATCATCATCATCCAAGCCTTGTTTTGAGTGCTCAAATCATTTCTCACTACTTCAACCCATGCCCTTTTTGGTCTGCCCCTAGCCCTTCTAGCCCCTTCAATTTGCAACAGACTGCTTCTTCATATGGGTGCTGTAGATGGTCTTCTATGCATGTGACCAAATCAAACCACATTTGTTGCTTATCTAACTAATGTTATTTAAATGATAAACGTTTGTAACCTCTTGCTTCAAAGGCTTTTTAACTGTGCCTGTAATTAAGGGTTACCCAATGTTGGTCCCTGCTATTTGGGGTCTCAGGAGGGGGGAACTGGATAAAGACCTAACCTTTGGCATTTTTGCACAATGTGGCTTCTCTCAGACTCAAACCCACATTCTCGTGCTAATCTTGGGTTGCATCATTAAACACAAATTTAATTGCTTAAAAGTTTCCAGGAGAACTAATCTAGGTGTCCCATCCTTGATTATGATTAATTTTAACAAATTAATGAAGAGTCCTTGAATATAAACAAAAGCTCTTGAGTAGTACATTGCTTATCCATGGAGATGAACTGATTCTTGTACTTTATATAATTCCACCAAAGTCAAAACTCTATTTGTGATCATAGTTTTTAGAAGTTGAATTTTTTGCTTCTATACCAAATCTTTGTTGAAGTTCAGTCCTGTGAAAAAAATCCTAAAATTTCAAGTCCCCTCTTTGTGTTTGCAAATCAGGTTGTAAGTTATGATTTCAAGGAACAGAGGTTTGCTCATCTACACCGATCTGCAATTAGCTTCCCAGAGGAAAGGTTCTTCTATTCCGGAACCCCAGCTTCATCAACTTCACAGGAGGCAGCAAATAAGGGCGAAGCATTGGTGAGGACTCAATTTCAAGAGGACCCATATGGTTGTATAGGTTCTCTTCTCCGTAAGAAACTGAGGCGTGATCCGTTCCACCGGTCAATCCCTTATCCTAATGGGTGTCCAGAACTGGAAGGATTGTTTAGATATTGCGGTGTAGCTCCCTATCCAGGCAGCCTGCCTTGGGCTCCATGAGTGTAATGTAATATTAACCTTTGAACACCTCTTGTTCTCTGAGATGGAAATAGCACCTGTATAGCTGTAACCTAACTGTTACACCATGGAGGCTCTATAGACACTGAAACCTCAATTTTCCTAATTTTTCTTCTTTCTCCCAACAGAGTCCCATCGGCCATTGCAGCCTTGCATTGGGAGCATCTCCATTGTCCTTCATTGCGAGATATTCCCTATGCATGGCTGCCATGTATGTTGGTCCCTAATCTGGGACTCCTAGATGATTATCTCAACATATGCTTTCTCAAGTTAATTAGAGAAAAATTTATAACACTTGGCTTAAGTGCATGCCTATAAGTCTCTTCAGTTGCATCCAGGCCAGTTTTGTGCTATCCATTATCTCTTTTCTTTTAGTTAATTTGTAGTAGTTCAAATCTTTATTCTCTATTTTTGTAATGGAAGTTGATTGTAACATATAGTATATATCTACTGCAATGGTAGATTTTAGAAGGCACAACACCATCAAGGCCTTTGAAAGGATTGGGAGCGTTGTCTTTAGTCACCTGGCAATGATACCAGAGCAACTAGACAAACGGTGAAGGCATGTGAAGATGAACAAATCCCCACAACTGACTTACTTACCCAAGTTGGAGAAACGAAGACTGATGTAGCGCGATCTAGCTGCTCCTTGCTGGAGGTGATTTGGCTTTTAGTTGGATGGCGGACTAGGTTGATCTGCAAGAGGATCAGAGAATTCAGGGTGGCTAACCCGGCGACGTCGCTCCAATGCTTAAGTTAGCAAACTTGTTGCAAGCTAAAAAATGCTAAGAATATTGAGAGCAAGAGAGCAAGAGAGCAGAGAAATCACGCGTACCTTGACCCATCGGGGGTGGAGCCTTTATATAGTTGAGTCCTCGTGGGTTTTGCGGATCGGTTGAGAGATCTTCGTCATGATGAGATCCGTTTCCGCTTTAATTGGGGGATAACGCTGTCAACTGAAAAGGCTTATCAATTCCGCCTGAACTGGGCGGGGTGGAGATAATGCTAGCTGTTATGTGGCGTGGTCCCGTGAAGTTCGGAATCCGTTGGAGAGATTTTCGGGGTCACCACGTAGTGGCCTATCGGTATCCCCGAGCTTATGCCTTTAAGTTCCAAACTGGGTTGAATGTCGAAGTGCCTTGTGATCGAAGTGATCCTGTTGCGATCTGGTACCGAAGTGATCTCGTCCTGAGGTAACCTTGTCCTGAGGTGGTTGAATATCCAAGCTCGATCTATTGCAAACTGGTTATGTCAGGCTGAGTTGTCATCTTTTGGTCAAGTCGTGTCCACGTGTCCCCTCTTTACTAGGTCGGGCCAAATCATCCTTCATCAATTGTCCCCCACTCCCCGAGCCAGGGGTCCTAACCCAGTGCGGGGAGTTCATGATGAGTCCAAGTGGATTTGGCCCGAGGTCCAGGCGGCTTGTCAGGCGAATCGTTGGTCGGACTTGTTCAGCTACCCGACTCAACCAGGAAAAACCCAGGTCGCGTCTGGTCTACGCGCGGATGTCACGCAATCTATAAACTCTGCAGACGTCAAAAAACGCGTTAAACCGATTTCAACCTCGGGGGTCACACAGCCGGTTTTCCTAGGAGCTGTTGGATTGTTTCGATATCGATCGTTGATTCTCAGACACAGCGGCTATAAATAGGGGCCCGAGACTCATTTGCTTTGCCACAAATTCGCTAGCCTTCGATCTGAGGTCGCGTTCAAGTTCCTTAGCTCGGTTTCTCCAGTTCAATGTCTTCTTTCAATTCGGTCTCTCCTTGGTGAGTCTTCCCTAGCTCTCATTTCTGATTCAGTTGTCATTTTCATGTCTAGTTTTAGCTTTGATAGTCTCCTAGATGGGAGCGATGAATCCGCTAGGGCCGAGGTGGGTACCTCGGCTCAAGTCGCAGATCGCCTCACCGAAGAAGCTGCTTTGGGTCAAAAAGCGGTCTGCGGTCCTCCTGAGGTGGAATCACCTCGGGAGGTGCAAGAGGCCTCTGGTGGTCTGGCATCCACCTCGCACCGAGGCTGGCAACCAGATAACTTTGGCCCATCGACGATGACAGCGGACAAGCTCCAGACCTTAGTAGCTCGATATAGGCTTCCGAGTAACCTTGTCTATAGTCTTCCCCTAGGTAACTTTCCCTGGAAGCATGGTCACGACGAGATTGTGATCTTCGAGGAGCAGCTCGCAGCTGATCTTTGTCTTCCACTTCACCCCCTGATCGTTGAAGTCATTAAACTTTTTAACATTACCAAAGATCAGTCGCACCCGAACTCTATCCGCAATGTAGTAGGAACAATCTCAATCTTCCACGACTATAACCTGCCCCTTGATCTTGATATCTTTTCTTCTATCCTTTCAATAAAGAATAACTCCTCATGTGTTCTACCCGAGCACAGGCGGACTTACTACTTGTCCCGTCGTTCGGGTTACATGCTCTTGCACGGACTCCCAAACAAGATCCCGCGCGCCCGAGGAGGCAACATCTTCGAAGCCCGCCCCTGCGGCTGCCGCTTCTTCGGGCAACGATGAAGCAATTCAGAGCATCCTGACTCCGACATACAGCCTTCTCAAGAGCAAGAGCGCAGTATACGCCGAGGAGGTCGCTAACTGGGCCGAGCTGTTGGTCGCTCAGCTCGGAGCTTGAGCAGCTACCCATTGTATGGTGGTAAGTTCTATCTTGACTTCTTCAATTTTGCACTTGAAACTTTTCTTGTACTAACTGTTGTTCTTCTCTTGGCAGGTGAACTCCATTGTACATGCTCTGACGTACCAGTCCGAATTGCACCTGAAGCAAGCTCTTGCAGCTGAGTCCTCGTCTCACGAGGCTCACACTGAGCTAAACCTGGCCCGCAATGAAAATAACTGTTGAAGAAAGATGCGCGGGCTCAAAAAGAGTTGATTACACTACTGATGTCCGAGAAGGAGGAGCTCGCGGGGAAAAAGGCAGCGTTGAAGCGGGAGGTAGAGAATCTCGAGGCCCTCGTGAAGGAGCGAACTGAGATACTTCTCCAGGCAGTGGAGGAGGCGGCCAAGACCAAGGCCGTTGAGGAATATAAAACATCGGAGGAGTTCCGTGGAGAGCTGATCGAGGCGGGGACGGAAGGCTATCGCAAGGGCTTCAAGCTTAGTAGGTGGCTGACCCGGTGTGAATTCCCTCATCTCGACCTAAGCGTCATCACTACTTTGAGGGTCACAGATGAAATGGCTGTCGAAGCTGCCGAAGATCCGGACTCCGAGGCAGAAAGTGACGACATTCTGCTCGGTGACTTCGAAGAGACTGTGCTAACGAGAGTATGGACCCTCCTGCTGAGGCCTCAGACAAGGGCGAAGAGCGTCGAGATGAATAGACTATCTTCTATATTGTATACCCTGGGCCTTCGAGCTCGGCCTATAGTGATTTTTTTTTGTACTGAACTCTTATATTAATGAAATACACTTTTGACTAATCTTTTTGTTCAAAAATGTTCAAAGTGCAAATAACTCCCGAACTGACGAACTAACCAAGTAGGAGTAGATGTATAGGTTACCTCGAACTATCGAGCTACCGAGCTGGACAACAAGTAAGGATAACTGAATAGAATTTTTCCAAGTGGAGGTTACCCCGAACTGTCGAGATACCAAGCTGGACTACTAGTAGAGGTAACTTCGCATAATGTACGCCATGGTGAGCGAACATTGTAGGGTATATACCCGACCTGTCTGCACACAAGCTACTCGCTTAGATGTCGGTTGTCCTTTAGAGCTAGTGGGCCCAACCTATTATTATATGTCGAACTGGGCTAGACGTCGTAGGGTTTATACCCGAACTGTCTATGCCTTAGGCATTAGGGGTAGTTTGCCTATGCTGAAGAGGTGACTAGGACTTGTTTGCCTATGCCGAAGAGGCGACTAGGAGTTGTTTGCCCATGCCGAAGAGGCGACTGGGATTTACCTACCCATGCCGGAGAGGTGACTGGGACTTATTTGCCCATGCCGAGGAGGCGACTGGGACTTGTCGTAATGCCGAGGTCTTATGTCAGCTCGGCATCATGGCCCTTGGGCTTCTAGGAGTGACTCGCAGTCCTCTCTCCAGTTCAGCAGTCACAGGTAGTATCGTCTCAGGTTGTCGATGTCCCACGCTCGAGGTACCTGTTTCCTTCTAGGTTTCAAGCTCGTGTGTACCTTCCCCGAGTACCCGTCTTACTCGGTACAAACCTTCCCAGTTTGGTCCAAGCTTATGGACACCAGGCTCAGGTACCATAACTTTTTGAAGAACCAGGTCGCCGACACGGAAGTGTCATTTCTTGACCCAGGCATTATAGTACCGAGCCACTCTCTGCTGGTAGGCTGCAGTCCGAATGTATGCCAGGTCTCGTACTTCTTCCTCCAGGTCGAGGTTGGTATGGAGCTCGTCGTTGTTTGTTTCCTCGTTGTAGGCCTCCAAGCGTAGTGTTGGCACCTCGATCTCTGCTAGGATCACCGCTTTCATGCCGTAGGTGAGGTTGAAGGGGGTCTCACCCGTGGCGGTCTTGACGGTAGTCCAATAGGTCCATAGCACACTGGGCAGCTCATCTACCCACAGTCCTTTGGCTCGGGCTAAGCAAGCCTTCAGTCCACGGAATATGGCTCTGTTGGTGACTTCCGCTTGCCTGTTTTTCTGGGGATGTTCCATTGAGGTAAAGTTTTGATGTATTCCCATCTCGGCACACCAATTCTGGAACTTGATGTCCTCGAACTGCTTTCCGTTGTTGGAGATAAGTACCCGAGGTAGCCCGAAGCGACAAACTATATTCCTCCAGAAGAAATTTTGTATGTTGCGGGTTGTGATCGTCGTTAGGGGTTCCGCTTCCACCCACTTCGTGAAATAATCCACTGCCACCACTAAAAATCTCCTCTATCCTTTCGTTGGCAGGAATGGGCCAAGAATGTCGATTCCCCACTATGCGAAGGGTCACGGGCTGGTGAGGTATTTGAGGTCGGCAGCAAGTCGGTGGTAGATGCCTCTGACACTTATAACACTTCTTGATGAGCTCGAGTGCGTCTGCCTTCATTATAGGCCAGTAGTATTGTCGTAGCGCTTTTTGGGCGAGAGCCCTGCCCCCCAAGTGTTCGCCACACAAGCCCTCATGGGTGTCGTGGAGAACGAGCTCGACCTCTGAGGTTTGCAAGTAGCACAAGTAGGGGAGCGTGAAAGATCTCCGGTACAGCTGTCCGTCTATAATGACGTATTTAGCTGACTAGCGCTCTACCCTTTGGGCCGCATTACGATCTGTAGGGAGGGTTTCGTGAAGCAAATAGCTCGTGAGTGGGTCAATCCAGC